TCTAAACACATTTAGCTAGTTAAATTAGGCGAATGGATATATACACTATTAGAAAAAGAATATTCTTTATATTCAAATATCAGAATTTTGCATGATAACTGTATATAACATTGAGTTTGAATATTTTTAATCAAAAATATGAATCATACAAAATGTATAGATTATAAATTGACATTGACACTATAAATGAAAATATAATTATTCATTAATATTTATATTGTGCTCTTATGAGAAATTCTATGGTTTTGGTTATAAAGAATATTCTTAGTGTATAGTGTATATCCATTCGCCTAATTTAACTAGCTAAATGTGTTTAGAATTTAATATAGAATATTATGGTATAATTCAAATCATCAGGTTCCATTACCCCTTTCATCTCAGATAACATGTTACTGTATATGAAATAGCATTTTATTATACAAACAATTGACTAAAAATATCAATACAAACAAAAGGGCAACAAATGAAAAAATGTATTTTTATTAAAATATTGTCATTAATTAAAATAGACTTTGTATACGATTTTCTGTTCATAGTTTCTAAACATTATATATTTGTTGTCAATTTATATACAATTACTGTACTGTATATGGAATTTTTTGTTGGCATTTAAACAATGTTTGAGTCCATTATTATAGACAAATCAAACGATTCCTCGAAAAAACATTATTAAAATACAAATATTAAAAATATTAAACACAATAAAATCATACAAATAATCACTATTTCGAGAATTGTGTCAAAACTTTGTAACCAAAGAACGGAATCATAAGAATAATTATATAATAGACTAGAAATTATAATTCAATATATTTTGGCCCCAATTGGCTTCAAATCAAATAAGACGTCTTCATCGATGCCCTCCAATAGTCTTTTGGATTCAATTCCTCCAGACTTTGAGACTTCTCTTTCCATAACATTGTGTTTGACTATCGATTGAAAACAAATTGAATTAAATGAAGAGATAACCAGAGGGTGCGAGTCATACCTTACCGGTTGTGTCCAAGGCTTTGATGACTACATGTAATGCTATTCCCAATAAACAAACAATGAGTCCAATGAAGTTGATTCGACTCATTTGGTCGCCGTTATAGTTGACGGCGAGGTATAGAGTGAACACCTCTTTGAAAATGCCTGCAATCGAAAGGGTAAGACTTG